CCCCAAAACCCCAAAACCCCTCGAAATTAAATTAAAGAAATTAAGAGAGATTTTATTTAAGTCAAAAATATATACTATTTTTACTAGTATTATTTACATGCTATTTTATATAAATGTTGCTCATCTTTTTGCTATTATTAGTGCTATAATTTAAGCTCTTTAAGTTATTTTAACTCTTTAAATTACTGGAGATATTGCTACTGTTATTTCCACTATAAGTACTCAGATTAGAGTTTCTTTTCATTAAATGCATAAAATTGTCCAAATTTACTTTTATGTTTCCAGTAGCTTCGGTTGAAGCTGTTTAATAAGTCCTTTAAGATGATTTACTATTCAGTCTTTTTATTTCAGGCAAGAAGCTTGTCTCGTTTTTACTTGAGTAAGTAATTAATGATGATTAGTTTAGCAGTCTATGTCTGTCATTATGATAACTTTCAGTATTATTGATGTTTTAGTTAATAGTTCTTTTAGAAATATTATTGTTTGATTGTAGCTGATTTTATTTATCTGATCTAAGTGACCTTAATTTGTCCAGTTAAGTTGTTGAAGATGAAGATTTATCATTCGATATTATTATATTAGAAACCCATATTTGATCCCGCTTAATATTTATATCATAACTATTATCTCTTGAATTTTTTTCTTTACTTGATAATCTAGATGTGTTCTTTTGAAGCAGTGAATATCTTTTTTAAGATTATTATTTTTACCCACCACTGATATTATTATTTACTATGTTTTACTACTGAATAGATTCAATGAAGCTGTCTCTTTTAGCAAATAATTAATTACTTTATCCTGGATTCTTCAGACTTTCTAATGAGGTGTTTATGAGACTATTATTGTTTTATTTTCTTAGAGCAGGTTTTGATTTTGAATTTCTGCTTGGTATCCTTGGAGGTCTTTAGGATATTTTCATTAGCACATTATTTTCTTCTTTTATCTAATCAACTATAAAGCTATCAACATTATCAGGAACCTAATCAAGTATTGTGATATTTTCAGCCTGCTCATCTTATTGATTATTTTACTATTGAAGTTAATTTATTAAAGTTTTCCTTCCATAGAAGTCGCTATACTCATTCTAATCTATTGGACCCACATATACATTGTCTCTAAACATTCCCTCTTTTGAAGATCCGTCTGGAAATATCATTATCCCATATCCATCCTATATCCCTTATTTCCATTTTCCTTAATAGTGAGAACCATCAATCCAAAACATTTCTCCATTACCATGCCTCTCGTCATTTAGATAGTTACCTTTATAATAATTACCACTTTCCCAAGTGAATATTCCAAATCCATTTTTACGATCGATTTAATATTCACCATCATAATGGTTACAGCTCTTGGCATTTTGAAGCTTTCTCCAGCGTCCTTTACCATGCTTTAAGCCTTATTTGAATTATCCAATATAAATACTACCGTTACTCCATATGTATTATCCCAGACCATCTGGTTTACCCTCCTTGTATTATCCTGAGTATTAATCTCCATTTATAAAAATATCAGTTCCTTATCCATGCTTCAAGCAGTTATGCCATTCACCTTCATATCTATCGCCGTTCTTCCATTAATGAACTCCATATCCATCTGCCTTGCTTTTCTTCCATTCTCCAATGTACGAATCGCCACAAGTTCCTTTCCAAATTCCATAGCCTTCTTTGACTCCATTACGCCATTCCCCGTCATATATTTCCCCATTCTGCCAGGTATAGACTCCTTTGCCATGAGCTTTTCCATTAACAAAATCCCCTTCATATGTATTCCCATTCTAGTATCTCTCGTAACCTTTACCATTTCTTAGGTCGTTTATCCAGTCTCCTTCAAATACACGATTATTATGATAAATCATGATTCCCTATCCATGTCTTTTGCCATCAAAATATTAACCCCTGTAAATAGCATCTGAGTATTTTTTAACTCTATAATTAGGCATCCCTTTTAGTTAATCATAGTTAAACATTGAACTCTCCATCAAGTAGTCATCAAAGTCGAAAGAATCACTTACAATCTACACTCTCTTACTGTATAGATAATTATCTAATAAATTTACCTAATTTCTTTATCATTTGCTAGGCCCATAAGTTGTCGAACGGTATCCTCAGATTAAAAGGAGTTACCAAAGCCCCCACTTACTTATTATTGCTGATTCATATCATCCTCTTTTTCTAATATCTATAAAGCCTTTCTCTGACTTGGTTTCGTTTAATTTATTCCATTTATCTTCCCCTATATTTTATCTCAAGTTTGTTATTCCTGTAAATCAAATGGGAATTGCTCTGGCTCTGTAGAGATATTTCTTTCATCAATTTTCATTTTCAAAATTATCTTTAAAACTAATTCGAGTATTATTTGGAATGTAGGGGTTTTGGGGTTTTGGGG